CCTGTATGATTTTTCATTAAAAAGTCTCTCATGACAACCGACATCCACTTAGCCACTGAGCCCATGAATGGACCCGGACAGGATCATAGCTCACTGCAGCTCCAAAGAGCACCCGGTGGCAGGTACAAAAAAAACAACCGACCTGGATACATAAAAACATCGGTTTGGGTGCCAATAAACCTTCGACCATTAAGCGCAGAAACGTCGGAGCAAAGTAGGCTGTTTGGCAAGAAAACGTTGGTGTCCACACAGAGGTTTTTTTAACGTCGGATGACGCCCAGGGTAGAGTTTGTTTTGTGAAGCACGTCAATTCTCTCTTGGGAAACGTCTTCGTGAGCCTCTTAATTCAATTCTCTCCTGGAGAACGTCTTCGTGAGCCTCTCATGATTTCAGGATAGTTGAAACCCTCTTGAACATTCAGAAAGAGTGCATATGAAATTCTAATCACGAAAGGTGTTCCCCGAGGGGATCGAAAGGTGTTCCCCGAGGGGATACATACCTAGAGTTTGTTTTGTGAAGCACGTCAATTCTCTCCTGGGGAACGTCTTCGTGAGCCTCTTAACTCAATTCTCTCCTGGAGAACGTCTTCGTGAGCCTCTCATGATTTTAGGATAGTTGAAACCCTCTTGAACATTCAGAAAGAGTGCATATGAAATTCTAATCACGAAAGGTGTTCCCCGACAGGATGCATACCTAGAGTTTGTTTTGTGAAGCACGTCAATTCTCTCCTGGGGAACGTCTTCGTGAGCCTCTTATGGTTTCAGGATAGTTCAAATCCTATGATGCTCCGATTCAATGCTCACCGATGATTTGACCCATGGGGCAAGTTTGTTTTCCTAAGAATCTATTTGAACATTTCGAGAGCATATGTTTGAACATTTAGAGTGCATATGAACATATATTTACGAAAGGTCGCCTCCGAGGGGATAAATCACCATGTCGAACCTTGCATTTTTGTTCCTGCCTCTCGCGTTCTCTTCTCTTCCCGCTGTCCTACCTTTCGTGTCTCCCTCCTCTCAAGTCCATTTGGCTGGCTCTCCTGGTCAGTGGTCCACGAGCGACGTTGGACGTTGGTCTGGCTGGCTCGGCCACAAAGCACGCGGAGACCGGGATTTGAGGAAAGAGGGAAGATCCGAATGAGGAGAAACATGGAGAAACTCATAGAAACTCATACCTTTTCTTGAAGAGCAATTCCAGGATGATTCGCGGGGCAAGCCGGTGCGGGTGTCAAATGGCTTCAACGTGCGAAGATGCAGTGTTTTGTTTGTTTGTTTGTTTTCAAGTTGAGATTGGTTGGGAGTGACTCAGTACATGGTCAGCAAAGTGGGTTCAGTACGTGGGCCCTTTATTAAAAAAACGGCTTGAACATCAAGATTTGGAACAACATATTTGGTTTGTACTCTTCGATGGCTCTAGTTAGTAGGGATTGTAGGGGACAATCACACACGAACAGACAGGCGCATCACATCATGCCAGGCGCATCCAAGTGAGACTGGCTTGATTGGAATTTTGCCGTGTTTGTGAAGCAGGCTGGCATATGCATCCTTGTTCATAATGAGCATCGCTTGCATGGCTACCGCTGAGACATCACTGATCTCACGATTTCCCACACAGCCCAGTCCAGGTGGTTGCCATGGTTTTTGAATTGCAAGTGCTTCCATGATCTCACACGCCAGTATCTGAATTGCAAGTGGTGTCCTTTCAGTCTGTAGACTATTCGGTGCCATGTTTCGGCTTTGACCTTTGAGGTCGATCTGTCCAAGGATGTTTGCCTTCAATTCCAGTGGGAGTGTGAATTACATTGAATTACAGAATTGGAACCAAGTTGAACCAAGTTGAACCAAGTGCCAAAACCACACAAACCGGTGCATGTGCATGTGTTCAATGAAACTCTTGCATACCAATACCTCAGAAACCCAAAGTAACTACGCTCACAACTCCTCTCGACTCCACTCATCTCCAAACTAATCTGCCTTACCCACATACAAGATCATATAAGGCATGTAATATACATAATACATCTTCGGATTCGTGATATTCAACTTTTTAGAGCGCCAGGTCCTCGCCCGGGCAGTCGTCCCATCGTTGGACCGGAACCCCGGAGTGGAGAACGACCGGTCCGGAGTACTGGAGCACACGGTGGGGGTGAGCTCCATAGGGCCCCTGAAGCGGTGAATTCAAGCGTCTCACCAATATAGTATGTGGTGAGCGTTTCCTGTGTGAAACCGTTCAAACATGTTGTTTGGCTCACTGGAAATCCCCCTATTTATCGCCCTGTGGGAAGAAAAACACAGGACATACCGAGCGAGTGACCGTGTGGAATACAAGTTTAATATAGCAGAACTTGTCAACTTGCCCTTGCGTCATTTTAGCTTCAATGTTCTTTACACCCATCTAAAAACCAAACGATTAAAGAAAAACTATTTGAACAACGGCCATGGCCTTACACCAAATGACCCATCTGAAAAAAATAACACACACACACACTGTCTGACCTCTTCTCCCGAAGCCAGCACTCCGTCGTTCGAGGTCTTGGCCCCTTTCGCCTCCCAGAGCTGCCTGCTACTCGGTGGATCGAGTGGAGGTCCGGTGAGGAGGTCCGGTGGAGGTCCAAGAAATACAAAGGTAGGTCAATGGGGTCGTATTTTTTGGAGCAAGATCGATGTGTGCAAATTGACAAATTGAATGATAAGTAGCTAGGCTTGGAGTGCAGCTTGGAGTTTGAATCCTGGTTCTGGGTGAGTACTGATCTCCTCATGGGCGCAATGGTAGAGTATGTGGTGGTGGTCCATCCCTGTTCTGGACAGTGGCAGCTTTTGCTAACTGGTCTTGCGTGGACTACAATGACTACAATCGCACGAAGGGAGTATGCAGGGCAGACCATCATATCACCAACCAGTTGGTAATCAGTGCGACAGAAACAGTCGTCTAATATTAAACAATATTCTATCATCTAAAAATAGTCAAACAGTGGTTATTGTAAAATGCGATGTCGCACAACATCTCTCCGTTGCTCCGGCTAGTCCCTTCCATCCGAGCCCAGGTTTACGGGTTGCCTTTTGCAACGCGGTTCGGCCGTTGGGTGGCCCCAGAACGGCCGCCACGCCACGCTGATCCAGTCCACCTGATTGAAGCTTGGGCCACTCAATGGAAGATATAGCTATAGCTGGCGACCCTCAGTTAGATAAGAAAAAACACAAAAAGAGAATGACTCAATATAAAGATATATAAAGATGTTTTATGACGATTTTGGTATGAGACTTCTCGTGCGTTGAAGGAATGGAGACCGATCAGGATACACGTGCCACAAGGACTGCTTGACGCACAGCACACGAGGTCCCGTTGATTGATGTCCGTGGGTAGTCCCAAGTCCTCATTGGCTTTCATGCCCAGGTCTGGTTAAAAGAATTGTTGCTCTCACTGAATTGCTTGCACCAGGACAGTTCTTGCAATGTGTTTGGCTGGAATCCATGGGCGCCCCAAGCGTGTTTTCCTCGTCAGTCTTCCCTCCAAGCGGGCGCCCAAGAGTCACACGCGTGACTCCCAAGACGACACCGAGGCCCCGCTGGCGGCACGCTGTGCTTCCGGTGCGCGAAAACGGGATGGATGCTGCTGGGTTGGAAAGTCTAGCTGTATATAGAAGTTGAAGGCAGTGCTACGTTCGTACCCTGAAGGCATCAGTAGAAATCAGTGCAACAGTTCTTTTTGCGCTGCCCCCGACCCTGTATCTTTGGAATGGTTCAGAGTCAAGCGGTCATGTCCCACAACCATCTATGTATATATTGTTGCAGGGGGGGGAAGCCCTGAAAGTAGCACTCGTTTTTGCGTGAGGGGATATTGAACACTCAAAAGTTGCGTCATTGGCAATGCACAAAGCCGTAGGAAACCTGGTGGGCTTTGTGAAAGTGATGAGGCGCACTTCAACGAAAGAGTAATTTGTTCCAATGAAGATGTTTGATTGGTGATGTCCAAAATACTTCACATTATCCTCCTTTGCCTGGGAGGCAACCATTGCCAATGACATGACTATATAATTGATCTCTTTCAGGTAGACACCAAGACCCCGTCCTCAATAGGACAAAGTTTCTTTCTGGGTCTTCAGTCCTTTGGGGTTGCCACTCCCCAGCAAACTCGACTGGGTTGCTGAGGGACATCTTCCCACCATCTTTCAATGAGGAGGGAAGACAACTAGAATCCAAGTGAGTTATTTTTTCAGGCAGAATACGTAGAACCTCGAGGCGAGGGCTCTTGCACCAACGGCTTGCGAAAAGACAATTGAACTGTCCCTTTCACTTTCTCACTTTTAGTTGAAGCAACGAGATGATTTTGATGTGGAATCATTTGCGGCGGGGTCTGTGAAACTTATTAAACCACACAGACCACACAAACGAGTAGTTGGAACCCTAGAAGCACCCTGCCCAGATCCATCTGGAAGGAAAACAACAAAAACGCGTCAGCCTGGGCCCGTCCCTGTGAAAGGTCAACAACCCACCAGCCCCCAGTTCCAGATCCGATCCAGATCCGTTCCATGGGTTCCCCTGAGTCTCTGGGTGTGTATTAAAATAGGGGGCAGATCCCAAGGACATCCTGGAAGAAGCAATATAATATATATATACACCACTATTAAAACGCAGACCCTGGAGAACAACTGTGTGTTCTGAACATTGGAACGGTCTTCTTTGGACATGTCCAATGGGATTATCACAAATGGTTCTCCGGCCTTCGCAGCTGTTGCTTGGCATCCCCGGACATACCCCATGCAAGGCTAATGGGATGTGTGTAATCCGCATCTTTGGTGTCATCTTTCTGGGAATTACAGTAGTTGGAATTAGTAAAAAAACAACAGAGGTTGTAATTAGTTGGAACTTTGGATCCAAAGAGATTTTGGTGGCATCTTTGGAAGGTCAACATTGGTTTCTTTTATAAATACTTGGAGCATTTTGGATCGAGAAACAACTGGCCCCCGCACGACGACGGGGGAAGTGTGCACGCCTTGATTGATGAGTGCCCTTGTCGCGCTTCATGATTTTTTGTCACCCGTCAAGATGTGCGATGTGCATATTGTTTTCTTAGATCAGTTCTGCTTTGCATATTGTTCAAAAGAAAGCCCCTTGTCATGGTGACAGATGGTGTGCTGTTTTTGTGCAAGAGACTGGGCAGATGCGCTCTTTGGCCACCTAGCTTTCAGAGACCTCTCTACTACCTTGCTGGGCAAAGCCGGGAGTAGAAGGTTCGACAGTTTGATGTCCCTGCTGCTACTCCTTCGAGCTTCCCAACACATACGCACACACACTTTTTCCCAGGCAAAATAGATGGCTTAGGGCCCACAGGTTGGAGAGAGATCTTGGTCTTTGGGCTGTGTATGATGTATATCCAGGAACAAGTACACACCCAGAGAACATAGATTGGAACAAAGGTCGCACTATTCATGAAGGGGGAGCATTCATGTAGTAATAAACAGGATAGATAGATTTGCTGAGAAGTTCGCAACGATTGTTGCTTGGTGATGCTTGCTTCACGGTGTTGCATTCCAACCAATCATGTTCCATGTTCCGGTGAGGCAATCTGTACAACTCGACATGACGCTCAGGCAGTGTTCCACTGCTTTGCGTTCGACAATCATCACACCCAACCGCCACTGGCCTCTCTGACCTCGCCGTCACTGCGCCAGGTGAAGCTAAGGACGAGGCCGGCACCGTGGTCTCCGGGACCCCCTAGCATCGATCTCCTATGTGTTGTGACGGAAGACTTTCATGGCGAAAAAACCTCCTGGAGGAACTGTATGGAACAACATGGAACAACAGTGTCCAATATATTTCCAAAGTGTCCATAACATTGGTACAATAGTTTGGAGTGTGGTTGGAACAGCTTCCAAAGCTGTACTTGGTCATCCATTTCCCCGCCGAAACCCTCAGCTCCTTTCCCCGTCGGTCTCCGGACTCTCGGCTCTCGGGATTCTCGAGATCCTGGAGTCCGAGTCCGTCGGATCGTTTTGGGCGACGTCTCTCGCGACGTTTCTCGAGATCATGATCATCATGTGTTTCGTTTTGGTAGAGACTGCCATGATGTTTTTTTTTTTTTTTCGGTAGAGACTCATGCAGTGGATCAATGGACTTGATCGATTGAATTGGCCCAGCTCCAGCAAGAAGTATGCGAAGTGGGATGTTGAACGTTTGGAAGACTTTGGAATTGAAGTCCTTTCAGGATGCTTTCTGGGCCAGTGAATACCTCTCCTTTCAGCTCTCCTAAACATGGCTGGTCGGTCGGACCTGTTTGCTTCCGCCATCCGAATCCGTCCTGTTGATTCAGACGACGGAGGTTGAGTCGTTGGAGACAGAACTGACCTACGGTATTTTCGTACTGTCATACGAACGACGCAGTGACAGTTGAAGGGGCCAGGTTTCTGATTTATACTGTCAGAGGGGCCAGGTTTTGTTGTGCATGTTGTTTGCACATTCCGACTTCCGTCCACATCATATGATGTTGATGGAGCGGGACAGACAATCCGTGCAGCAGGTGCAGTTGGCAAAAGAAGCCGCCGAAAGCAGGCAGGCCAAGTGAGCTGTTCATCCTCTTCATTGGTCAAGCAATGTGAAGCAGGAATTTGACCTCCGACTGAAAATGGATTTGAACATCGATAATTTGTCAGAAAGGCTGCGTCGCAAAGGCACTTTGAAACTGAAACAGGCCAGCATGTATGATGTGCGCAAAAACCACAGCCTTGTTGACCACACAAAGCACTTGATGCAGTTGATCTGGAAGTTCTGAAACTCTTGCTCACTGCGCTGGTCCCAGCATGTTTTTTTGGAGGACCGACACTGCCCCAGAAACGATCTTTGACAAGATTATCCGGAAGGACGGGTTCTGGTTCTGGCCAAATGTAGGCCATGAAAAGGAGTGCTGCAAGAATAGAGCTGACATGAGACAGGAGGGTGCTTTTTTCTAAAACCCCAATTGTCCAACTTTGGTTCTCAGGCTTCCTTGTGTTCTTACAAGCCGTTCCGCCCATGTGATGCTCGGCTTGCGTCATGGGCAGCCTTCCGATCGTCCACGGCGCTGACAACCCATGACGCCGTTTTCTCCAATTCACGGTGCTTCACGGCGCAAAAAACGTCGGATAGCGGCGCTTCACAGATGATTCTCTCCTACTAGTATCGATAGTATAGATACATTAAGACGCAACATGTCTACGTTTTCTTTGTAGAACTTCTTGTGCCACTTGTGCCATGCATGGCACAGGTGCTCTCGACTCAGCCCCCTCAGGGCCCTCAGGCTTCGCCTTCATTCCACATCGGTTTTGGCCGGTTTGGTCCAGAGTTGATGGATTACGCTTTCACCAATCGGTGCTTCTAGCTTTTGGAAGAATTCAGCCCAATGACCCCTTAACCCCATGCCCCTTACATGCTTCTTATTCCCAACACTTGGTCCTTCTCTTGGAACCCAATCCATCAGGTTCACCAATCGGTGCTGAAGATGCCCTCCAATGAATTGTATGATAGAAGCACATTCATCGTAAACGCGTTTGCACACCTGATTTCTTCCTCCGGTCGGGCTCGGTGGCTGGCTAAACCACCAGGAGATTCCTTCCAAGATCGTTTTCGAGGAGCATCCGGATTCACGGACTGGACAGGACGATCAGAAGGAACAAACCATGGCAGCTAAGGAGTACGCCGCGGAGTACGGAAGGTCTTGCAATGATCCACTTGTAAGCATTGTGTGGGTTGAGCGCCCATTAGATGATCCATATATAAGATATAACATATGAATTGACCCTGTTTACATCCCGTTTCTTGGACATACCAATTTGGAGTTCTTTATTTTCAACGTGTTTTTCATTCTTGAGCTTATGGCCCTCAACTGGAAGGCTACTATTAGACTGATGTCCCCTATATAATATTAATGTATATAAAACAAATAGAACCAACATTAATTGATTATAATTGTTTCTAATTGGGTATCATTAGGAAAAACTGAAAATCATTGGAAAACATAAGTGCAGATTATTGAGAAATATGAGGAAAAAAACACACATCATCCACAATCTCAGCACACTCATTGCTGCCTTTGTTCTGCTCACTTCTTGTTGCATAGCCCCAGGCTTTTGCATACCAAAATTGAGTGCCTGTGGCTGCCTGGGATGAGCTAGCTTAGAAAACCCAGGCAACAAATTATTTGCTTTGCAAACATGTTGAAACAAAGACATGCCAAGGTGCATCACATTTGATGGCTGGCTTTGCATGTTGGTCACTGGTACTCCAGGTGGAGACCCAGAAGGCCTCACCAAGCCCAACCAATTTGTATGGGACTGATTCCTACTATTTCACAGACCCTTTACCTACATGTCATGTTTGAAACAATGAATTCTTCCTGCTTCACTACCTCTGTTGTGAACAATTCTGAAATTTCAGCCATGCCACATTCTGCCAGAGTTCTTTCTATCCAGTCGCCCTCTGTCCCTTCCACCACCCATGGCTGGAGTTCTGTTGCCCAAAACCCACTATTAGAGCCACAGTTGCTGGTGGGGCAAGGGCACAATAGTTGAGTTGCCCACCACTTTCCAATGGGCTAGAAGGTGTGGATCCCTGACTGCAACAGCAGTAGCAGGTGGACCAGTGTGAGCCATTGATTGTTTAAGAGGCACCTAGTTGAAAGAAGGAACCCCCAAAATAGAAAAACATTAGAAAAAATTGACTCTATGTTTTTCAATGTTCTTCAATGAAAATCAATGAGGGTTTTACCTCAAATGATAGCCTTCCTGATGGACGCCTCAGCCTCATGAAAGAGTTTTCTTGCTTATCTTTGTGACTTGGCACGGTCCCCAGGCAGCCAGGCACCCCGGTGGGTTGGCCTGTTTGACCAACCCCCCTCCCCGCCCCTGCTGTTGGTGGCGGAGGGGTCGATGTGTGTGTGTGTTGCTTTCAAAAGTGTTCAACTTTGTTCACCCAATTTCGCACGCTTCACTCGTTGAAGTCTGCCAAAAAGTCTGTGAAACCACCCAGTTGTGTTGGAAACCACCGGATGCGAACCGAACAACGTCCAGCTCCGAAGCTGCGAAACGAACGCAGGATGATCGCGCCTTGGCCTTCCGGGATGTGAGTCCACAGGCGTGGAAGACGCACGAAGCTGCGCGTGTCCCGGAAAATCGCAGGGAAAAGATGATGATGTGGGGGGTTAGAATCAAGGTGTATGAGGAGGTTCAAGTTTACGTAATTGTGACGAGAGTGATCCATAGGGTTTTTGTTCAAAGGTCAGGTATGTTGGTCGATTGGGACATGTATAGTGGAGCGTACTTCATACAATTCTATGGTGTGCACTGCTGCACTACACGCTAACCTTCACAGCGGTCGACGTGTTTGATAGGGAGCAGGGCGCGTGTCGCACAAAACCAGCGTTCGGTCCTTGGTTTGGTGATGAAGTGTGATGGAGTGATGGCGATCGCGGCCAAGAGATTGTGGAAAAGACATGGGCTGCCTTTGAGTCATACCGAGTCCCACCCCGGCGCTGCTCTTTTGCATGTAAAGAGGTGCCTCGCATAGTGTAAGTAGGCTTGATGTGGACTGGGCTCCATGGCTCGCATTGCGTGCATGGCTCGGCATGGTACACATTCACATGTCCGCCCATCATATCCTAATCATTGCTGTATGAATTTGCATCTGGATTTCCACACCTCTCAAGGGTCCCAAGAGGTTGCCTCCCATCAAAGCGGGGGGGGGGGGTCCTCAGGCGCCGGTGCATGTCTTGGTGATTCCCAAGGTGCGTGATGGCCGGGGTTGCCAAGATGGAGGGTGTCGGATCCGTTTGGCCCATAAGACATCCTCGAAACCCGGTGTCCACGAAGACAGAGAAGGGCAGAGAACTCATTTTGGATCATTTTGGGGGATACACTGATAAGCTATAATGCGGCAGTGAGGTGAGGGAAGGAGGTCAGGTCAGTTTCAGTGGCAGTGTTCATTTGATATATTTATCATTTAATGTTGTGAACTTACCGTCATCAAGCGACTGAGCTAGAAAGCTCTCTAGGTTCTCCCGGGGTGCTCACCAAAGTCACATGCTGAGGCCTTACCCAGCTCCAAAATGCCCGAGAGGACCAGGAGGTGTGCAAACGAGGAAAGCTGGAGAAATCAGGTATGAGAGCTTCCAAGATTATATAATGTCCGTGAATGCATGCGCCTTTGTTTCATTTGTGCACATAAAAGTGGATGGTGTCTGGATAGTGTGGTGTGGCCGGAGCCAGCCTGGAGCTTCCAAGCGTGTGCTGGAACATGCAATCCACAAGTTGTGACAAGCCTTTGGAAGGTTGTGTTCTTCTCCATGACATGAAGATGAGTTTTTGAGACGATCTCTTCAGTCACCGCAGCCAAGTGAAGAACCAAGCTCAGCCAAGCTCCGAGCGGAACGATAGAGAGCGCCTTGCTCGTTCACAGTTCGAACAAGTCGCCTACCACGGCCTACCCCGGTGACGCCGTGATGACGGCTGTGTGTGCGACAAAATCCATTGGCTATTGTGAGTCGTTTGTTTGTGAGTCGTTTGTTCATGAGAATCTGCACCGGTGTTGTTTTTGATGTGTTTTGTTTGTGTGGATTTTACGATTGAGTATGTTTGAGTTGAAAATCCGGTGACCCCAATTGGGGCTGAGCCAGGGGTTAAATCTGCCAGATTTGTTGATTCTTCTGTTCAGTATCGAAAGGTTTGCCCCTCTTTTTGTCATGACCTCCCAATGTAGACTGTTGAGACTAGAAGACCCCACGCATGCAGATGCAAAACCATTCCGCCGGTGTCGATTCATGACAAGAAGGGTTTCTTTCGACACCGGCGTCGATCGTCGTTTCTCGTCTTCCTCGTCCGGCGAACGGCTCGTGCTTGACGCGCGTTCGTTGGAGTCTATTTGGGGATCGTCCAGGAGCGAATGGTAGGAGCGAATGCTCCTAGTAACAAGTGCATCGCTTCTAGTAACAAGTGCCTTACTAGTAGTAACAAGAAGCTATTAGAATTAATTTAAAATTAGTAAGAATGCTCCTAGTAGCGGTGCCAGGAGCCCCGAACGTAGCGTCCTTGCTCCTACTAGTAAGGCCAGGAGCCCCTAAGGAGCCCCTAGTAGCTTCCTGTGCCTTTGCTGAAGGTGTTTAACTTTTTCCAGGCTCCGACTCAGCAAATCCAAGTTGGGTGGGTCCTCGGTAAACTCGTCAATCGGGTGTTTGGAGGGGTGGCCAGGATGCTGTTGGTGTTGGTCCAGCCTCATAGGAGCACGTAGATGTTCTCCTGGATCAACCACTGAGGTCCTGGGAATCATAGATCAACCCCGGAGTTGGTGTTGGAAATCCCACAAGTGACTCGTTGAGAGGAGACATACTTCTGCAGATGGTGAGGAATAGTTTGCTCTGTTTGGAGTTATATACTGACCAACAAATGAAGAGATCTATTTAGACATAAACTGTGGCGACTTAGTCAGAACTTCCTTTGGGGGTTGAATCTCGACGTCACTGAGTCTAACATATTTGGCAGATCGAGGCCCCTCAATCGGCAACACCCATCAATCGTCCAGGGGGGACTCAGGTTGTTTGTTGTTTTTTTTTCCACTTCGGCTTGGCACTGGGGCACCAGCTGCTTCTGAAAAATCCGTCTTTGGCTCTTTGAGGTCATGATGTGCTCCATTGGGCAACTGCTGCTTTTCCTGACCTCCAGTCAGGTCGACTCCGGGGAGAAGGGGTTTAGGGTTTAGGCTGGCCTTAAAGGGACATGCTGACATTGGAAGTGATGAAGAGGAAAGCAAACAGGGTAATTAGGTGTTCACAAAGAAAAGATAAGAACAGCTCTTCATTTATCATCTTGCTTCTATTTGCCAGGTTGTGGCGGCTTTGCACTATGAGAGCCACCAGCATCGCAGCTGGACACCGTCCGCCCTCAGCGGCTTGCAGATGCGTGTGCAGATGGCCAATCGTAGACAGTACATGGTTCTAAATGTTCTAAGTTCATATGATTTTCGATGTGAAAGCATGTGATAGGTATTCCTTGAAGGCGCTCAAGGCGCTCAAGGCTTGTCAAAGATTGGTGAACCCCTTAGACCCAATGTGGTTTCAGTTTGCTATATTGAATGTATTGAACTAGAACAAGACTCAAGGCTGTTTACCGCAGTTGCCGACGAGGCTCAATAATTCGAGAGGGAACCCCAGTCCATATCAATATCTATATAGTTGTACTGTGCAGGTTTGCCGGCCATTCAATGCTTCCATTTGGAAGATGCAAGAGCAAATGCACAATGTTTGCTGTGTGGCTAGTAGCAGCGAGGCAGTCTGGTTCTCTTTTGGTCGATCGGCATGATGGGGCACCAGACACAATCTACAGTGCATACGAATCTCTGCGAGACAAAGCACATGAAGCTGCTGCGAATGTAAGCAATATCGACTGGAGCCACTACAAAGATGAAGCCTCGGCTTTCGCCAATGCCTCCAGTACATGGTTGAAATCAAAGTGGCGAGAAGTGAGCCATGCCCATTGGGATCAAAGTCAGGGTACGTTTTTGAAAGCATGCAAAGAGCTGCGCCATCACAAAGAATTTATCGAGGCGGAGTTGGTCAACTTGACGTCTAATGCAAAACTGGCATTTGACAAAGCAATGATTGCCTATGAAGCCCGCAAGCCAGAGACAGGAGACCTACGGATTGAGTGGCCCTGTGCCTACAAAGTCCTTGTTGGCGCAAACTTGGTCGGTGTCGGTACTGCTGTTACCCTTTCCACACTGCTCCCACTGTTTCTGAGCATATTGGGCTTCAGTGAGACAGGTGTGTCCGCAGGCGCTGTGGCTGCTCAGTGGCAATCTACCATTGGGAACGTGAAAGCAGGAAGTTTGTTTGCATTGCTGCAATCCATATCAATGGCGGGCCTTTCAGGGTCTCAAACTGTTTTGATCGCGAGTGCAGCGGCAACTGCGACGACATCTATACTGACAATAGTATGCTCTCCATCTGAATTTGTGATGCTGTCGTGATGGTTTGTCTTTGTTTCCATCTCTGTATGTATGCAGTGCAGCTCTTCCCCTTTTCTTTGATGCACGACCCCGAAAGTTTGGAGCGGGCGCAGTCTTGCCAGGGAAAAGGGTTGAGTGCAACGAGCGTGACGGGGAACGCTTGCTTGGTAGAACTTATACGCAGAGTTTGGTGTGGCTGTGCAGACTCAGACACCACAGTGAAAGCACAGGTACCACGTGGTGGACAAGGAGGTTTCTGGAAAGAAGGCAGGGACAGCAGAGTATATCTCTTCGGTGGGTCCTTGTCACATGGGTGGGAGCTGTTTGCAAGCGTCCAAGGCAAGCTTGCAGATCTTGTTGAGGGAGACATACAGCCGGCTCACCACTTTGGTATGGATCCATGTGGATCCGTGTGGTTTCTTCATTGTCCCGAGAGGACCAACAGTAGACCCAACGCTGCTGCCAATCGCAGGTTCAACAGGTCATTCGTACATGGCTTGCTCAGGGAGTTTCATTGGGTCAAATCACCATCAAGAATGGAACTATATAACTAAATAAGGCCTACAATACTGTAACCCTGGTATTCTGCATGGGTGCTGCATGACCCACAATCTGCTCAGATGTGGTGCAGGTCGGGTGCCTGTGAGTGATGAACCATTTCTCTCCCAGGCTTTGCAGACCCAGGGCCGGTCACTCTTTAGAGTCATTCCTGACAAATATGAAGAGACTTCCCCTTTTTGCAGCCAGACACCACTCATGTCGCCAGACACCTTCTCTCCAGACTCCAGCGACATGAGACCTTTCACCCCGACTCCTCTTTCGCGGCCCGACTCCTCTTCAAATGTCTTGCGAAAACTTCCCCATCGCTCGGAGAAGCCGAGCGCTACCTGGAGCGCTACCTGTCACGTCGACAGGAAGTTCTTGCTGCGCGGGGGAACCCCCCGAGGGACGCGCAGCCGGGCGCTTGGGCCAGCCGGGGGCTCCGTGACGGAGCCAGCCGTCCTGCGGTCGATCCAAACGCAGAAGCTGGGAGCACAGATAGACAGATCCAAGGGTCTCCACGTGCATTCACTCTTCATCCCTGTTCTCCGTTCAGTGGATCTTGCGTTCAGGTCATGGATCCTGGAAAACAGATGCAGATATTACACTTCCCTGGGACAGATGAACTTCTTCTACGGCTGTGGTTGGTAGGTTGAATCCAAATGAATCCCTTGGAGCTTCCCTTGGTTGGTTGGTGGGTGGTCTCAAGCATAGATCATCGATCGGATCGAGGTGTCAAAGACATGTGTTAAGAGGGCTTTTACATGCTTTTCTCTTCATTACTCTTCTATCGTGTTGGAGGTCACTTTTTTTCTGGACGTTTCAGTATAGACCGCCATAAACGGAAGTATTCCAGTTTTCTTTGATAGCTCGGCCTGCACATGTTCCGTCCCATAAGCTAACTTCGAAACAAATAGGCAACTATGTTACAAGCTGCGTGGGTTTCCCTACAAATTGAATGAGGGGTCCTGGGTATACCTGCCCATTATTTGACACATCCCCGACTACTTCTTAAAGTGTACGAAACGTGGACAGGTCATTTCAAATGTGGGTGAATAGCAAAGCAAGCAAAGTTGCAAATGATGTCTTCATGCTATGATTTCAGATACCAACCCATTCCTTTTGTTCGCGCAGCAAGCGCTAATTCCAAAAGCAGTAGACTCCTAGGTATGGTGTTTCACTGCACAGCCTTTTCACAAATGGGGCCCATGACAGGAACTTGTAGAAACAGCGCCGCAGAGCCAAGCGCCAAGGTTAGCGACTGGTGAGGCATCCGCGGCATCCTCCTTCATGAGGCCCAGAGGGGACTGTAGCATCCAGTCCAAGCCCCTCGCCCCTCGCTGTTCTGAGAGTTTCCACCACCTGTTCTGCGGTGTTGCCAGGACGGAACAGCTGAAGCAAGGCCGGGACCCAGCAAAGACATGGATTTCGATTTGAAAGTTTGAAAGGGGGGTATCCAGGCAGGTAGGTTGCCTACCATTGGACCCTCATATATGCATTTCTGTTCAAAAGATATAACTAATCAATTGGTGAAAAGGCTGCTGGCAGACTGGCAGAAAACCTGAGATAGCAATTGTATGCCTGATACTGCTTCAGCAAATCATTCACTCTTCTGGTGAGGTTTGTGGTGTTTTTGCACTGATGTAAAACACCTGGCCAAAATCAACCCATTGACATTGAACACTGTTGGTGCCCTTGAACTATTTGGGCACCACCCTTGGAGCCGACCCCTTTGCTCCCCAAGCTCCCAGCACACGGGTCCAAGCTCCAGCCTAGGTCGAGAGATGGCGATGAAGACTGCTCGCAGGCACAGGTCAGAGGATCCCAGAGAATCTCAGATGTGAGGATGATGTGACCCGGATGATCCTGGGTTTGCCGACTGGAATGGTGTATGGAATAGATACCTAGAACACATTGACCCTTAAACCATCTCAAAAGCATTCAATAACAAATACACCTTTTTCAACGAAAGAATCATGGAAGTGGACTTGTCCCATTTGTGAAGCAACATGGTCTTTCCAGTGCCCATGCCATCCATTTCCATTATTTCAATCAGTGTAGAAGTATCGACACCATCTCCGTTTCGTCTCCAGTCACCCCGGAGACTCGGGTGTTGGCCGGTCGGGCCGAGCCTCGTTTTCGCTTTGGCAAATGCTGCCAGGTTGCAGCATGACGTTCTGAAAGGGCTGCTGCCAGTGGCTGCTGCTGGGTGTGAACGGAAAAGCCGTGAAACATGTGTATAGTATAGTGTGTTGAAGCCATCAAAAATAAGGCTGTGGCTGCAGAGGTCAACTTCAACTGTTTCCTTTTCCTCAGCTTCTGGAGGTTGTTTGTTGAGCAATGTTGAACCCATGGTTCAAGCCGGCAAAAGCTGTCTTTGATACACGAAGTGCTTCTCGCCAAGGCCATTTTTCTGAAATGTCTGTTAATGGCTCAGGCTAGCTTCAGCCTTCTGCTGGGCTGTGTGGCCAGTCGACTCATCCCTGCACCTGGGCGGACAGTTTAAGGATGTTTAAGGACTGTGTCACAGATGTCTCAATATGAACCAAGAATGCATGGTACACAGGAGGGAATTGATCTCGGCGATAGCTAAGCATGGAAAGAAATGGAAATCACAGGTCTGACGGATCAGACCAATGACAAACTGCCACCTTCCTTGATTCCATGGGGGACATCACATGTGCACAAAGCAGAGAATCGGGGGTTGTGTTTGAGTTGCAACCAGTGAATATCAGATGGTTCTGGGATTCCAGGTCTCGCCAAGAACGACCAGCTGCAGTTTGCCCGTGGAAACGACACCCTTGATGAGACTCTGAGCCAGTTCTCCTGATCGCTTTGGAGACCCAAGGGTGTCCGTGGTTTCATGTATTAATAGAAACAAGTGCCACGCTAGTAGTAACAGGTGCCTTACTAGTAGTAACAAGAAGCTAGTAGTAAATTAAAGGATGGGCTGGACAGACATTGTCCATCACTCCTATTGGAGAGTCGAAGGACCACATGCTGGAGTTGAGGTGAGCTGCAGGTGGAAGGTAGCTGTTCACTGGTTCACTGCAGCTTTTAGGGGTGTGTGTGTGTGCTTCAACTTGCATCCCATCTAGGTGGTGGGAATTCTTACATAAAATACTGACCGAAAAAGTCCCTGACCGAGAGTCTTGTTTGACTTCCACAGCTTAATTACTTCCCAGTGGAGCGGAGGTCCTTAGGGGTTGAAATGCAGTATCCTTCCGCACATGTCTTGACATGCCATGAAAGGCCAGACTCCTTTGTGCTGACTTCTCCGTCCTCACACCCGAGAAAAGCAGATGTTTTAAGCATGTCCAGCTCTGAGTAGTCGATGTTCAGAGATTTGCACAGTGCCACCACACCACTCTAACAAAATAATATGGCACTTGATAGGGGTCTATACTTTTCGGACGACTGGGAAGGAGAGGCATTGGCACTCTGCTGTGTTTGCCCTTGGCCACCTGGCTTGTCATTTGCACCACCTGTCGTGGATCCAATCGATTCACAGTGAGGCTGAGAGATTCTTTTGGCAGGCATGCAATTCCACTGCTGATTGCCGGATCGCACGGTGATTCCGTTGCTGTTGAGGTAGAGAAAGATATCGAAACAGGTATGCAATATACTCAACAGATGTTGTTTTTACTCTAATGTCATTGCTGTTTAGGTGTTGCCTCGCATGTTCCCTTCGTGTGTGGCAGGACATTTCCAAATTCAAACCGGATCCGCATGGGACTAGGATGGTTCCGGGTTTGGCAACAGGCCTCCTGGCTTGGATGGCAGCCGTTGGCCGTTGCGTGAAGAGAAAGACCTGGGTCTTTGATGGGTCGCAGCTGGACATGTTGATCCTTCCCATAATGATCATAGTGTGTAAGATGTGTAAGACTTTCAAAAAACTAATGTTGATCATTTGGACAGCATCATCCAAGTGCTCAGTGCCGCCATGATCCCCGTCCATTTACCGAGCCAAAAGGAAGGTTGGAGGTCTTCAACATTCTTCAACCGTTTTGTGTTGAGCAGGGCATCAACACATTGCTCCTTCAGTCACTCTATGGAATTATCTCATCCACACTGGAGATGGTTTCGCAGGAAGCCCAGTCCAGACCCAGGGAAGGCCATTGCATGCATTGAGATAGACTTGCCCACGTTTACTAAACCGAGCATCTGAGTGAAAGGGAAATGACGGATGCTGCTTACATGGGAAGCTGTGAAGAACCTAACATGTTCGAACCAAAGGTTCCCTCCAATCCCAAGATTTGGGTGAAATGGTCAACTAGGTCTACCCCAGTTAGCAACAGTCGAGAAAGACATCTCGTAAGAGCATGGTCGGCAACTTCAGACCCCAACAGACCTTGCTCCACTCACAGCACGCCATGGTCCCAGGCACTCCTGGGACACCTCCTCTATGTGGCGAGTCGCGTGGGCAAAGACGAGTGCCCCGAAGGTTCGCGAGATTGCGGTTGTTTACTCAAGGTGTCCAAAGACCTTCGGCCATCTTCGTCCAGCTGCTTTGATTGTGATGAACACATCGATTCATACCTGTGAGTGGCTGATCTCGAAAAGATAGTTTTGCCAACTTTGCAACTTTTGCCATGATGGGACCAACCACCTGTACATCACCTGAACGAAAGATGAGTTAGTTTGAGTCCAAGCAATGATGCAGCTTATTAAAACATAAACACACACACACATATCACCAGCAGATACATTGAAGTGTTTGCCAAACTCAACGGCCCCCCGACCATGCTGACGTTGAGAGGAAAACAAACGTCCATTGATAAGAGACCGCTTACATTTCATCACGTTTCACTCGAAATCTCGTGTCCTTTCAGGTCCTTTTGCGGAACTAAAGACACAGTGGCTATGAGCCAAAAAAGTGTATCTCCAAACCTTGGTCGGCAATGCAGAACCAGCAACACCATTTTGCAGCTATCTAACAATCGAGCATCGTGCAGGTTATCGCATCGTCATCAACGACGGCAAGCATGGAGCACAGGTGGAGCGTCGGTGAAAGTCGGTCAAGAAGGTATTTCAAGGACATGGCTGTAAAGAGTACTCTATAGTACTCTTGGTGTTCTGTCGTTTTGCTGTTTGGTGGATTTTGGTAGGGCATTCTGTTGTTCTGAGTTGTTCTGATACAGAATACTCTTGCCACATGATATGCCTCCAAGATCTTACAAAGGCGTGCTCAAAATGAAACCACCAAGGTTTTGGCCCTACAAATGGTGCCCGAAAGGATTAGCATAAGAGCACCTGAGCACGCAGTGGTAATATTTTGATTCACAGCCTCACCTGCATGTGTGAATGTTAAAACATCTGGAAGGCACTGGCACATAATGGCACCAAAATTGATCAGAAAAACTGAACAGATGATCGTAGATTCAATAGATCAAAAACAACTAACTATACAATCAATCTTTGACGTTTGAGCAAACGGGCGAAGCGCGCACACCCGTGCGGCAGTCGGTCTACCACCTCCATGTCCACGTGATGGGCGGCCGACAAATGGGTTGGCCTCCAGGATAGGAAAGCTTTCAATATTATGTATAATAGATTTCATTTCAAATGATTGAATGCATCAAAAGAAAATCAATATATATTTTTTTTTTCAATACATATTATAGTATTAAATATTTTAGCTATTAATATTATTCGGCGGATATAGTATGGAAATGTATATAATGAATATTATATATATATATATTTAGATGAAATATTTGATAAATATATATATTAATATAGAATTTTATGTATAGATTAAGAAAGGGACGTTTAATATTTGGAATATATGTTATTGTCCGATTGATTTGTTTATTTTATATTTTATTGGGATAAGAATTCTTTTTGTTTTGATTTGATTTACGATATATATTATTTTAATGGGTTTGGATAATTCTGTAATATCGATTTATGATGGGATTTATTTCGTAAGTTTATGGAATTTGATATTTATTTCTAATTATTTAGTTGAATTATAATAATTAATATAAAAAAATATTTATTATTATTTGGATTATTTATAATATAATATATTAATATTTCGATTATTTTTAAATATAATTTTACGAAATTGATTTATATTAATTTTTTTTTACTATTATTTTATATATTTGAATTTTGTAATATTTTTTTTTTCGAAATATATGGCATTTAAAATATGTTTTTATTGAAGGCATATTTTATTTAGCATTTGGATTTTAGGGATATTGGAATATAAATTCGAGAAATTATATTAATTTATTGATTATATGGCATTTAAAATATGTTTTTATTGAAGGCACATTTTATTTAGCATTTGGATTTTAGGAATATCGGAATATAAATTCGAGAAATTATATTAATTGTTTGATTTTTCTTTATATTATTACTATAAAGAATAATTAAACCTAGATAACGGATTGATTTGGCAACTAATATAAAATTAATCTACCGTGAAATTAATGAAGCGGAAAATTATTTGATCACCATCCCATGGCGGTTGTATTTTTCGTTGCAATTATCGGAGAGCTATTAGCCTTACTGGGGCTTTGGGGAGAATATCTTTTGTTTTCTTGGCGGATGCTAATTGGCAATTGATAGATTTTGTTCGGGATGAGTCCTTTTAGACTCTTCACGAGTCCTGGATAATGGGTCACAATTGGATGTTTTTAACACAATTGATGGATTCGTAAGCAATTTATGCACCACCAAGCATGGGGATAATCTGCTATCGGATGGCAATGCGCTTGCAAACCAATCTTGAGGATTCCGGAGTTTTGACGTCCCGATCCTGCATCGTTATCCGGATCAAAAGACCTGTTTATTCGAAACCATGATTTATGCATCGCACAAACAATCCCCCTCCCAAACGCGTGCTTGTCCGAACATCCCAACAATTATTTATAATTTGAGCGATTCCTAGACTTACATACTAAGCACAATTTGAAAATTGATTTTGCCAGATCAAGTGCTGAGATGATTTATTTTTGGGCGAGCCACCGGCCTTCAAATGCATTGGGCTGAATATCGTGTCGTGAACATTGCATTTCATCTGGGTGATGAGCCCAATGCAAGACTATCAGTCCTGTTTGTTGAGTAGTGGCAATCTATGGATGGCAGATGATGTCAAATCGCCTTGATTGAATCGACTCTTTCCTGAGCTGCAGACAGATTGTTACCTTTTTTGGCTTGCGCCTCAGAGCCAACTTGCACACTTTTGCAGGCGTCCTTTTGAGCCTGTGTCCATGCCAAACAATGGATTCAGCTTTTGGCCGACGCTTTTCGATGACCTTAGGCTTGTGCCTATCTCCGGGGCTCCCGATGCTCACGAAGCATCCGTACATAATACGTTGTCCATCACGGGCCAAATAAGACCTTTGGCCGGAAGTGAAATGAAATAAATATATTTAAGGAGCTCCTGATTCTAATTGATTGTTATGGTTTAGCCTTATTAATTTTGTTATTTTGATAGGTGGAGCGCGGTGGAGGAGTGTTAAAAGGAATAGATGGGAAGAATCCAAGGAATTATAGATAGGAGGATGAAATATAGGACGATTAAATTATATTAGATGATATTAATTAGATTTTTATGTCTAATAGGAGAAATAAGATATAATAAATTATCAATTTGGTATGGATTATGGAGAATAATTATTATAGAATATAATTCATTATTTTATGAAAATATGTAATGGAAAAGCTTATTTATCGTTAGAGAGATATGATTCTTTATATAATAATAGTAGATTGGTGGTTGGATTGGGTTGATGAAGATTGTAATGATTAAGGAACATATTTGGTTGCTACATATAAATATTTCGATCTTGGAGGTAAATAATCGAATTCGTGGAGCTAATGTAAAGGAATATATTAAGAATCAATTTTTGAATAAAAGGCAAAAATAATGATTGATTGATTTATATATTTATATTAAAAAAATATGATTCTCGAAATAACATATGTATATATATATTTTAATATTTTAGAATTTATTTATTTCGATACAATAAATTTGATTGAAATTATTCTTGGACAATAAAATTATATTATAGATAATTTATTATAACAGAACAATCTGGAAAATAACTAGCACGCATAGCTTTGGCTAAAACAATATCCATTGAGGGAATTGATGTTGGGTCGACAGAAATTAATTATTATAGGCCAGAATTCGTGCACTTCTAGGTGAAAAGCAAGAAGCCGGACAGGTGGAATAATCATTCCTGGCAGATTATAAAATTATGCTCGTCGATGATTTCAAATAATTTCTTCCACCCCAAGGCGGCAACCTGGCAGATGTTCCGCATCATCTTCGGGTGGGGCCCCATGAGATTTGCAAAGCGCCAGACCCCATGGCAGATGCGGGCAGGCGAATGATGTGGGAAGATATCGAGGAAATGGTGGAGCTCATCGACCGAGAAAGATGCAAGGACGAATGGTGGATGAAATCACGGACGAGCTCCAAGCCGGCCATCTGTCGGAGAACAATTGGCGCTATCTCCATGGCTTCGGAGCTTCTTATCCACGTCAAAGAATTTAATAACAGGTGTCGTTGTTCGCCACGATGATCGGCGCCTCTTAGAATCTTGCTTCCCTCAATCGTGGATCCCCGGGCCCATCGATGACCCTACGTCTCGATTCTTGTTCCTCTTTTGACAATTCGCATCCTTCTACCGGATAGGCCTTTAAAAAACAAAAAAGTTGAAAAAGATATTGATGATTCTGCGAAATCTGGAGGAAGAGAATTTTCGGATCAATCGTGTAATAACATCCTCAATACATACTCCCATTTTAATATATCGTATAACGCATACTATTGATATAAATTGAAATTAAATGACATCGCCGCGGCGTTTCTACAAGGTGCCACAATTTAGCAAATCCTGTTATTGACGGTTCCGAAGGATGGCATTGCGATAGAAAATGAAGAATATATCGAATATCTGATCTATATATTCGTATTGATGAATATCTTCGAGATTTTTGATTGGAATTCATTCCCCACATATTAATAAAAATTGATCCTGCGATATACAACCTCAATAATAAGGAAAAATTTTGTCGAATGAACTATAATCATGTGGACGATTTGATTCGATAAAAAGAAATCAAAAAAGATTCGCCTTTCTGGATTAACAAGCCATGGATCGTTTAGAATCTATGAATTCTTGATCGAGGAGAAACACGATTATGTCCCCATCACATGCCCCGAGACCTTGGAAAGACAAAATCTTGGATGAGATATCCAATTGCGGAGGCAACCACAACAGAATAGACCCAGATGAAGTATTCGGAAACCTAGCTTAGGGGGCGCAACCATATCATCCGGACCTATCTTATGAATGCAGCAATCTTTAATCTAGACAACATATGCCGACCAGGATTTAATCGTGACCAATAAACTATTTGCTACAATCCAGAAAACTAAGGATAATAACATTCATTTCTGCAAGAAGAAATTCCGTTTTCACGATATCATCTTATTGTCGGTCATTGATGCCTCCTTTGGAGGCGAGATTTCGATGGAAGAAAATAAATATAAACAAGAATATAGATCTCAAGGAGGTCGATTTCTATTAATCATATATAAATCGTTTTCATCGATAATATAAATAATTTGATCTATAATATTTCCTTATATTATTCGTAAATTGATCTTAATTCATATCTTTAATTCATATCTATTAGAATTGATCTTTGATTTCTTCCGATATCTTTGTCACGATATTTATTTCGATTATTTGGCCATTAATCTGCCAGAATTCTTGTTTCAATGCCGTCATAACATTTGTCTAAGACGTTGTTGGAATATTCGCTTATAATATATAAATAATATTTCGCGATTCAATAAATCTTCATTAAATCGGTCGATTGGAATTTCTAGGTTCCAAATCCTCGTCCAATCATTAAATATTTCAACCTAAATACGATTTTATATAAGGCCATTGATTCAATATTCAAATCTTAATTAAATAATTCCTTAAATTAGATTATTCAAAAAATACCAAATTTATCTAATTAATATCTAAAAATCAAAAATTAATATCTAAAATTTAATCGAATTTAACATATTTCATAAATTTTAAATATTTAAAATATTTACAAAATAATTCATTCATATATATATAATTTAAATCTATAATCAATAATTTAATTTAATTTATCATTTTAAATCAATGTTCAAATTCAAAAAATATATATATTACTTGAGGCCGAGGGTAGGTGACGAAAGCTAGCAGGGGTGCATCCGAACTAATGGGACATCAAGTGGAATGAGGCAAATGCTCATGAGGTAAAATATTATGAATATATAAGAGAAACCGCACAGCAATGACCTTAGAATTGAAGTCCCCCATAATTAATGAAGCGTGGCTGGACTTTGCCACACTATTCGATGCATCCGATGTGTTCACGAAATTGTGAGTTTGTTGAATCTATTGCACCGTATCCCAAAATCTCCATGGAGGAATTAAACCAATGTAGATGCCATAAAAGGTATCCCAGAAGCAAAACAAGGCATCTTCCATAATTTGTCTAATTTCTTTTAT